AAATCTCTGCCACTTTGAAGTCTCTTGTCAATACAACCATCCACATTCTAAATCCTTAAGAAATTTTTGTGTGGATGGAGGAATTACAATGAATGATGGGGTTTATAATGGAAATGGTGACTGAACTCTAACTGCAGATGTGCCATTGTAGTATTGCTAGGGGAGATTCTGTGTATTGGCGGTGAAAGTAATTACATAGACCCTTGGCAAAATCCAAATTAGGAGTTATAGCAGTGTTCTGTCTGAGCCACATGTATGTGCCTTTTGCCTTTCAGGGTGACAGCTGCCTCCATTGTATGCATTTACTTGTACACATCTCAGATTTAGCTGCCAATATCATCGTGTGTCTGCTTGTCTTTTTCTAATATAAATTGGCAAAATCTCCAAGAAAGGGAATATTTTTCTCTGATTTGTTGAGCGGATTTTGGGGAGAGAAGTTGGCAAGTCATTCTGTTGGTGTATATGAGAAACCTGATTATGGATTAAATAATCCATGTTCACTGGGAAAGGCTTTGGTAATTTTGTGTTTTGAGTGAAGCCATCCTTTGAGAGAAAGTGATGCTTAGGGAAGGTCCAGAGTAACAAGGGTTGGTGCATGGGTTTGTGTATAAAGAGTATGTTTCTATCGTAAGCTTATGCATACTTTGCCTTTGCATGTTCATAGAACTGTGCAATGGGAAAATCTTACCCTTGTGTTAAAATGTTAGTGCTGTAAAATATTGAATTCCTGTTACAGGAGAGCTGATTGCTTAGTCTGTTAAACATGTAAGAGAAAACATAACAGTCAAGTAAGTAGCTGCTTTTAAGAGACAGAAGTAGACTCAACACAGGCTCTGTTATAAATACAACAAGAAGGCAGAATAAAGAGTAACAAACACAGTTTCTTCCTTTCTATGAGCTAAGCGATGAGAGGTTGTAACAATGCAGATATGGGAGTATTGGACACAATGAGAAGGGGAGAATCCACTATAAACTAGAAAGATGAGTGATGTAAAGCCCACAAAGGAATTACATTCCTTTTCTGGTTGGTGTATGATTTCCTATCAAGCATGGTAAATCTGCCATCCCCCACTGTTTCAGTGTATGATAACTGCAGATTTGGAGGAAAAGGGTAATCCACAGCACATAATAATAGGCTGTCAAAAAGCCCTTTAGTAGAAATATATGTGGCAAAAGGAAGTACCTCAAGAACTAGCAGGTATGTTATAGAAAGCATCTGAAGAAAGGCTCGTCGTTTATCACTTATGAAAGTCTGGCCAGCAGGTGGGTTTAGGTGGGTAGAAAGACAAACAATCTAACTCTATACATATGTAAAAGGTAAAACAATCTAATTAAGAACCTGACACTCCCTTCTAATGGTTGTGCCTTGTGATGGTGAATACATAAGATCATAGCGCTGATACTGACCATGATTTATTATCCATAATTGTTTATAAAAAGCCCCTGATGGAGTGGACTGCAGACATCTCCTAAGAGGGTACAGAGAATCTTTATAGACTGTTGCAGTAACACACAGCCTATCACTGTCTTTTAAAAAACTTGTTCAGGTAACATTGACCTTTTTTACCATTGACATGGTATTGTTTGGGGCACCTAGTTTGACATCTGTGCTTCAGTTAACCAGTGTGCACAGTGCCCATAGCAATAGCTATTTCCTGGAGGGGTTTTGAAGTTCAGTATTGACTCTGAATGCAAAGTTTTTAGAAGGGCTATGTGTTTATTTCATAAGGGTTGCCTTTGAAATTAGTGCAGGGTTTTGAGAGAAACATTATATTTACCCCGATACTCCATTAATGGAGAGGATATTTGGGACACATTCACATGACCCCAATAATTGAAAAGGAGGTATAGTCTTCCCTCCTTTCCAGTCACCCCATCACTGCAGTTGAGGGTGAAGCAGCCACAACTTTGCTCTTTACATTAAAAAGAGTAAATACTCTGGCCCTGGGCCAGTCTCTTCCTCTGCCCTCTCTTGTTCTTCACCTTTTTGCCAGGAATGGTTACTCTGCCTTAATTCTTCAGGAACTTCTTCAGGGTACTCAACCCATGCTCATATAGTGCAGAAGAGACCACTATGATCATCTGTCTGACCCAAATAACACAGGACAGAGAATTTCGGCAAAACAATTCCTAGAGACCTTTTTTTTTTTAAGGAAAACATCCGGTCTTCATTTAAAAATTGCCAAATTGTTCACCGCAGTTCATAATAAATTGTTCCAGTGGCTAATTTCCTTTACTTAGAAAATTACACCAAAGTCTCATTCACCAAGCTTGACAGAGGGGTGGGCAGCTCATTATTGTGAATTCCCTTTCTATGGAAGAGTGGATTTTTAAAAAATGTAGTTGGAGTCATTTTCAGTGTTACATTGACTCTCACTCAGCTGGAATAATTCTTTGTACCATGGTTGTGTCTAGAAGACTCAATCAAGGTCAGTGGAGATAGATAAGTATATCTCATAGAGCTGGAAGGGACCCCATCAAGTCCAGTCCCCCTGCCCTCAAGGTAGTACCATCCCTGACAGATTTGCCTGAGATCCCTAAATGGCCCCTCTCAAGGATTGAGCTCACAACCCTGGGTTTAGTAGGCCAGTGCTCAAACCACTGAGCTATCCCTTCCCCACCCTTAATACAGTGCAGTCACACATACATATAGTAAGACAGTCCATGTCCTTAATGTAACCAGAGGAGAAATAGAGTAGAAGTGGCTTAGGTGAGGTCACATAATCAGTGGCAGAGCCAGGAACTGTATCTAGGTTCCTGGAATCCCAGTCATTTGGCAGTTCACTAGATCATATGGCCTTGCAGTAGTGTATAACCCCAAAACAGTGTATCATTTGAGCGGGACATGCCCCTTGGATGTGTATACATTGTAAATGTTGCATACAGTTTAGGAAATTAACAGCTTGTTGATTTAGAGTATCCATGTGGTTTATACTGGCAGATTTATGTAACCATGTTCAAATGTTTATGGGCACACACCATGCAAGTAAGTCCTAAAAGTCTTTGTTAGCTCTAAAATTGATAATTTAATAGTCCCAGGTTGTGCACTGTTAAAATTTAAAAGTGCACTTTTATTTCATGATAGGTAACTATAGGATAATGGGATATTCTGCCCTGCTGGGCCTGTAATTAGACTTTCTCCAAAAGCATGTATGGAAGGTAAACTAACTATTTTAACACTCTTCTTGTTTTAGGGACGATTGGATTTTTTGCCTGCTTCTGGTTTGTTAGTAAGATTTACAGTGTTGTGAAAGTGGACTGAAGAATTTCAAAGTGTCTTTGGAACATATCTTCCTGGCTGTGATATATTTTTTCTTCATATTGAGAAACCTACTGCGCAGTTATTTTTAAACGTAAAAGCTGTATCACAGCCTGTATGGCAGAACATACAGGTTTATGTATGGAAGTAGCAGCATTGGAAAACACTTACGCTCTTCATATTCTTCCTGCAAATGTTAATCTGTTCTAATCACTTCATAAAAATACTATATCCAAAGTCTGATTTAAAACAAATGATGCAATGAAACCTTTTTTTTAAAGATAGTGCATTTATATATTTTTCCACCTGAAATTTCCTGTGACTTTTTGGTTACTTTCCTTTTAACTCTTACCAATTATATCATCAAAGCATAGGACTGTCCAGTAAATACTGTGTAAAAAATGTGAATTTTTTAACTTAAAACTGATTGTACATAATATTGTGCAACTTCTTTACAGCTTGTTTATCATCTTTCAGAAGAACATGCAATTAGTGTAATGTAGAATTTTGTTAAGGATGTCAGCACTGTTTTTCTTCAAATAAAACTGCACACCTCTGGCTGACTTGTCTGTTTTCTTGTCAAATATGTCACTTTTCTTAAGTTTCATTTATTTACTTTGGGTATCATCCCCTTTGGCATCCCGTTTGACAAAGGCCCAAACCGTTATTGCTGGGCTGCACTGTGAGTTATGGAGTATTCTAATGTAGGGAACAATGGCAAAGTGGACTCTAATTGCTGCTTTGGATTATAGGATGAGAGATATTTTCTCTTCTAACCAGGTCCCATGCCAGGGCTTTCAAGGGGATTACCAGCATCTCCAATTGTGTGCAGAAGTGAACAAAAAACCATTGCTGAGACAAGCTCAGTTGTGACGTTCATGCTGGTCAAAATTGAAGAACAAGGGGATGTTCAGTGAAATTAAAGGAGATTTTTTTTTCCTTCAAAGTGGGTCAGTGGCCTCTAACCCAAAAACGTTCACAATCCTTGCTCCAAGGCATGACCAGAAACTGTCCCTGAGACTCCAGTGGGATTTGAACTCACGAGGCTAATACTCTTAACTGCTGAGCAATGGAGCCTAGCTTTAGTTATAGTAGTGTTCTGAAAGAACTTCAAATATGAAATTTCATAACTACTACTCGTGGTATGTAACTTATTGCTAAAATCAGCTTCTGAACTGGATGACTGGAAAATGGCTCATGTGACACAGATTTAAAAAAAAAAAAAAAAAAAAGGCTCCAGAGATGATCCTGACAATTACAGGTGGATGAGCCTATTTTCAGTGCCAGGCAAATTCATTGAAACTATAGTAAAGAATGGAATTATCAAGCATAGTGTTTTTCTCGTCTTTAGTAGTATTCTCTTGAGTATTCAAGATTCAAGCCACCAGATTTGACAAAAGAAGAAATCTGCCTTGAAATTCTATTAAGAGTCTGACTTAAACCCCAATCACCCAGATATGTAGTACAAGACTGCCCACTCCATCCACAGCCCACATCTCTTGGACTTGGCACTGCTGCTGCTAGGAGACCAGAAATATAGAGGTTCAGTCCTAAGCCTTCCAAGGCACAGTAGCCATGTAATTTTGGTAGAACAGATGGTAGGTGAGTGTAACTGGGCAGACCAGGCCCGTGGCTAAAAAGGGGCCATAGAGAAATCCTCCAGGGTGGCTAGAAGGGCTGGGAAGAAACCAGCCAATCAGGGGCCAAGAAGGACTACATAAGAAGCTGCAGCACCCGAATCAGTGCAGTTGCATCCCAGACCTTAGGGAGAGAGGACTAGAGATAACTGATTGGCCTGAGAGAGTGGCTCCATGGGGAGAGGTTAGAGACTGTGAACTGGAAGATAAAGCCCTGAGCTGTGGGCAAAGAAAGTTGTCTCCAGGAGGAGGAGGAGGAGCCTTGGAAGTATCACTCTTGATCAGATTGAGGAGAATGAACTGAGAGAACCTACAGAGGGCACCAGGATGGGCCCCTGTTTGAGGTGTACCCTGGAAAGGGTCTGTATTTCACACAGGATTGAGACTTGGCTGGAGTAGCCAAAAAGGCTTTTTAAACCGACCATGCAGGCGCACACACTTGACCGGATGAGGGCGCTCGCGGAAGGTGAGTGCCACCCCATTACAGTGGTTTATTAATTATTATTATTATTATTTTTTATCTGTAACAACTATTTTCAATTAGTTTCTCATCTGGCAATAAGGACGAAGGTAACAAACAGGAGCAAGCCACATGAGGGAGGTTCACATGTAGCTGGCAATGAGGTTGGGTGGGGTTGAAGCCACTTCAGTTTCCTCTGACAGGACAGCTGCAGAGACACATCTCCGATTCTGGAATATTTTAGCACTGCCTCACATCCTGTGTCTTATTGGCTCCCTGTGGAGTCATTCTGTTGTTAACGCATCCTTCTAGGGCCTGATCCGAAACCCCCTGAAATGAAGAGAGGTTCTTACTGACTTTGGTGAACTTTGAATCTGATCCTTTTTCAGTGACTTTATCCCAGATAAGAAAATTTCTTAATAGCCAATGACAATATTGTTTCCATTAACATTGTGTGGTCCTTACTGAAACCCAGCTCAGACATGTAACGACCAGTTGCAACATCTCCCAAGCCTAGCGCCCAATTGCGCTCTATATCACTTACAAGATGGAAAACTGTAACCTGGAATACAGGGACACTGACACAGACGTAGGAGAGTTCTGGTGGATAACTGGTTGAATACGAGCTCCCAGTGTGATGCTAGCCAAGATGAGGAATGCCAGTTTTGGATGCACAAGGAGGTGAATATCAGGTAAGCATATGAGATCTGAGACCATTACTGGATACTGTGTCCAGTTCTGGAGTCTCCATTTGAAAAATTGGAAGGGATTCAGAAAGCAGCTTCAAGAATTATTCAAGGTCCAAAAATCCTGCTTTACAGTAAGAGACTTGAGAAGCTCAATTTATTTAGCTTATCCAAGAGAAGGTTAAGAATTGACTTGATCATGGTCTAACAATACCTAAATGAAGATGAGATTTCTCATAATAGCTGTTCTACAGGAGGAATGGCCATAAGTTCCAGTGCTTGGAAGCTGAAGTTAAACAAATTCAGACAAGAAAAAAAATGCACGTTTTTCAACAGTGAGGCTGTGTCTACATTGGCATGATTTTGCGCAAAAGTGGCCGATTTTGCGCAAAAACATGCTGCCTGTCTACACTGGCGAGGAGTTCTTGCACAAGAACACTGACGTTCTAATGTGTGAAATCAGGGCTTCTTGTGCAAGAACAATGATGCTCCCGCTCAGGAATAAGCCCTCTTGCACAACTGTTCTTGTGCAAGAGGCCAGTGTAGACAGGCAACATGAATTTCTTGCGCAAGAAAGCCCGATGGTTAAAATGGCCATCAGAGCTTTCTTGCGCAAAAGAGCATCTACACGGGCACGGATGCTTTTGCCTCGTACAATGAGGGTTACGGGAGTTGGAGTAAGAAGTCCTCCAGCTCAACATTATTTTGACTGTCAGAATAACTGCGTGTAGTGCAGATGTGGACTGTGTTATTTCGGAATAACGTCAGCTATTCCAAAATAATGCTGCTGTGTAGACATAACCCTACGGTTTTACTACTCAGAGCAATGCATTTACTGAGTTTGCTGTATTGTATTTTATCATTCTAATCTAGATACTACTTAGTTACAATCTATGTACTCTAATTACTGTTGCTCAGACAAAGTGGGAAGCCCTTAGCTCTTAGACCTTCTATGAAGTTATTAGCCCCAGGGTTTTACAGATAACATGAGCATCTGCAGAGTTTACCCAACTTAATTTGTTATATTTTCAAGTGAAGGAACAACGCTTATATGTTTGACATCATGGGACAGCATAAACACAGAAATTTATCACCATAACAAAGAGAACTGGCCCCTTGAGTTGCTTTGTTTACCGTACAAATCAGATTAATCAGGTGTGCACCTGTGTCTCCTACATTTCTTTGGTTTAGTTTTCCTCCTGTGCTGTTTGACAGCAATTATAATATATTGAAAAACTTTATAGCAAAAATGCTCTGGACTATATAGTTCAGGGACTATAGTTTTACAGCTAAGGACTGTTTGTCTCCATCTTTAGCTTCCAGTAATGGCAAAGAAACATGCTCAGTCAAAACTCTCATTGTAACTGTTCCCATGGAAAAAACTACATTGAAATTATTAAAAAAAAAAGTAAAGTAATATAACCAGCCTGGTAGTTTACTGGTTCAGTTGTTCAAAAAAAGTGTCACTGTTGCGCAAACAATGCTCTTACAAGAGGAAAACAGGTTACCGGGGGGGTGTTTTCACTTGTGAGCTTGTGTGTGAGGGTTCACTGAGACAAGCACTCAGAACACTGAGGTCCTGGTCCTGACTGTGGGGCCTCTTGAGTGCTGCTGAAATACATGTTATTTTTTGTGTTAGTCACAAACAGGGATCCTCCTGGAAATCTGGATCTTGTGTATATGTGCAGCACCAAACACAGCAAGAGGCAGTCCCCATGAGATTAGTGTGAACGAACAGACAGTGTGGTAGTGCTATGACCCCAATTTTAAAGATGGGGAAGTGAGACTGAGGGAGACAAAGTGACTTGGCCAAGGTTCCCTAGGGAATCGGTGACTGAGTTAGACTCGAAAGGTCTAGGCTTTAAACCAGAGCCATGCCTGCAAAACCATGCTCTCTCTTTATATGAAAGATAGCCTCCACCCCAGTCCTGCAAGCACTTGCTCATGTCAGTGCTCCTCCTCACGCTGGAGGGAATACATCTGGGTCAAACACGTGCCTAAGTGTTTGCTGGCTTAGGGCAAATGCGACTGTTAGAATGCTTCTTTGGCCTGTCCTTTGCCTCAAATTATGGCTATTTGTTTTATCATAGTGCCTAGGACTCTCTCACCGTAGGCTAGGACCCTGCTGTGCTAGGAGCTATACAGACAGAACAGAAAGATTGTCCATGTTGCTACTTCCAATCAGCTGTTGATGTCAGGAGCTAACACTGTGTTCCAGCATTATCTTGTCTTGCTCACAATTGCTGCACTGAAGGACTCTTTGCCCTTCCACCCAAATCCTTAGTTGTGATTTCTACTCTTAAATAGGCACTAGCACTTCATCGGCCAGTAGCAGGCTCAAATGTTGCTTGTGGTAAGGACTTCAGAAAGGACAATCTCATCCGAGGCCCTGGATAGCCCTGTGACAAAAGCTGAGCAGCTCAGTTTAATCTTGCCTGACACCAGCCACTGTCTCATCCTACTTTTAATGGAGAAATCAGGCACTGACTTTGGGTGGTGTGAATTTCTGATGCACCAAGAAGAAGTGGTGGCAGTTCTCTGCAGGCATACGCTGAATGCTGCTCTGTTAACATTTATTATGGAAGTCACCATTTCTCTCTTTACAGTGCCCTTCCGAGGAATAAAATACCTAACCACACCCATGAAAATGACAGAAATTAAACTGAACTTGACAGAGCCCAATAAAAATCTGAGCACCATCCCATGGGGTGACATTAACAGTGGGGTGAAATCCTGGCCCTGTGGGAGTCCTGCCCTGGCTTGCAGAGAAGTCAGGGTTT